TGATTATATAGGTAGGCATATATCAGATAAGGAATTAGACACATGTGCAACATCTGGGTATCTTTATTTGCCTAATTCCTTATCTTGTCGGTATTGTATACCATTTATTACAACATATCAGATATTTTTGTACCGTATTTTCCGGCATATAAGACGCACGAGTGTCTGTTGCTTACTGGCACGTTTCAAAGCAGTTGTAACGTAACGTTAGTAAACAACTACTAAAGCGTAACCCAAAGCCTACCCTTGACCCTGACCTTGAGCATACAAGGCGCCTGGAGATTTTCCAAGACTTTTTTTTTTTTGGGGGGGGGGGGGAAGCGCGCTTTACATGTCATGTAAAGACCTACTGAATGTTTAAATGAGCTCACAGAAGGTTTGATCTAAGGGAAGGGTACATCCAGTTCATTGGATCAAGTACCTTTCACCAAGGTGAGAGCAGCAACTGGTACTCCCGCCTCACCGATAACAGCTACAGGTCTATCAGTTCCACCGCCGACGCCCCCCTCATAAAACCCTCATCTTCTGTTGCCCCTCCCTAGTATATGTGGCGCAGCTTCTAAGCAGGCCTATAGGCCTGTCGTCCAAGGTAGTAGGTAGGCTCCATTAAAATATTTATGCTGCTGATCTGCAACAGAAGCACTTTGCGTCAAACTTTACCCATTTTCTTTTATTACACCTTGCTGGGTTTAAATTATAATATTCTACTAAGCGAGTAGGCACTGAATATATGTACTTTGCAAAAGAAAAAAAAAAAACTTGGACCCTTTCATTAAAAATGAATACTTTTTCAGCTTCAGAGAACTCGTTCCTGGGACGCTTTTGAGGATCCTGTCGAGTTTAAAAACTACGCATCGCTCTGGTTATTTGCAAAACACTATTTATCTGCCTTCCACATTTATGACAACTGATTTTGATGATGCCGAGAGCTATTACAGTTCACTACCAACACAGACGCCGACGACAAAGACAATTAGCAAGCGTTTAAGTGTATAAAGCGTGGGTAAATGATGCAGCGGACGGGGAGGAAGGGTAGGCTAGGTAAGCAGGTTTACTTCTGTGCTTGTTGCAGTTGCTCCCACCTTCGATCCACGATCACTCCCGTTTTCTTTAATTCTGCAGCCTGCATTTTCATCAGGGTAAACTAACAAAATGCGAGTATATATTGTTCAATGTACAATATCAAGATAAGACTATAGAACAAAGCTTTAGCATAATCTAATAAGAGTCAGTAGGGATAATTTCCGCTGGGGTCCTTGCTCATCTTTCCCAGGATGTGATTTACAACAGTCGGCAAACACCTAAGGACCTACTTCCTGTTAGGTGAACAGGGGCAACAGGTTTATTAAGAAAATATTCCCAACGTCTCTACCCACCCCAGGATTGATGCCAGGTCCTTCGATTAAAAGCTGAAGGTGTTTATACTAAAATACTAAGAAATCTACAAATAATAATGCAGACAGTAGTATACATTACGACAGTGGTTCTAAATGCGCAGGGATATTGCAGATATATGTAGTTTGGAAGTTAGGAGGTGCGGGATTACCAAAACTGGTGTCCAGAGGGCTGAGGAAGGGTTGTTGAGGTGGTTCGGACATGTAGAGAGAATGGAGCGAAACAGAACGACTTCAAGAGTGTATCAGTCTGTAGTGGAAGGAAGGCGGGGTAGGGGTCGGCCTAGGAAAGGTTGGAGGGAGGGGGTAAAGGACGTTTTGTGCGAGGGGCTTGGACTTCCAGCAGGCATGCTTGAGCGTGTTTGATAGGAGTGAATGGAGACGAATGGTTTTTAATACTTGATGTGCTGTTGGAGTGTGAGCAAAGTAACATTTATGAAAGGATTCAGGGAAACCGGCAGGCCGGACTTGAGTCCTGGAGATGGGAAGTACAGTGCCTGCACTCTGGAGGAGGGGTGTTAATGTTGCAGTTTAAAAACTGTAGTGTAAAGCACCCTTCTGGCAAGACAGTGATGGAGTGAATGATGGTGAAAGTTTTTCTTTTTCGGGCCACCCTGCCTTGGTGGGAATCGGCCAGTGTGTTAATAATAATAAAAAAAATTATTTATAAATTATATAGATTTAACTTATGATAATCTTATTATGAACTTATGTATATTATAGTGGTGGTAATCAAAAGATTTCAAGATGCACACAGTGGAATTGGGGCTTCAAGTCCTGTTGGCTAAGTTACAGGGATTAAAATACAAAACTCAATGTATATATATTGAGATATACACACCTACTGGTAAAGTTATACACCGTGAGGTTTATGTCTCTGTATATATACTGAGTTTAACCTCCACTTTTGGTGTTACAGTAGTGGCCTTGACCGGTGAAGAACAGGTTACATGAAGCTTTCAATAACTCATGTAATCGACAGGCGTTGAACACAAACCAACCAACCTCTTGACCTATATACAATGCCGATACTAACACATGATGCCTCACAGACACTGACCAGATAACACTGACGACTGACTCCTACACTCAGTACTCGTATCAGCTGAAGCTTTTACAGCAGGTGTTACCAGAGATAGAGGTATGGGTACCAATGTACAGTATTATAATCAATTCCTTCTTTTAACATTATGCTCTGTTGGCTAACTTATTAATTTCAGTGTGCATTCCAAAACCTAAGTGAGAAGGAATGCACACATATAATTATTTTTTAATACCTGTGCAGGATTTTGGACACCACATATCAGTGGTGTTTAAAGGAGTCAAGAGGACTTAGGTACGAGAGTCGCTTACAACTAAGGTGTCAGGTTAAAACGGATATACAAGCATGAATGCAAGTAGTACAGCAAACAAATCACCTTGGGGCGTGGTAGCTCAATTATTTATGGGGGGCCACACTTCCGCCTACACTGGTAGGCTAGTGGAGGGCGCCATCAATGTATATAGCTGGAGAAACAATACTTTGCAATTAGAACATGTAATGGATGTGAGGCATCAAACTCCAGCTTCAAAACGAAGGATAGTTTAGGTATAATTGAATTATCTGAGGGAAATGGAGAATGACATTTCTTTTAAACCGAAATATTCCATGATACAAGTTGCTGTTGTCTTATAAAAAAAAATGCGAATTGTTAATTTTGATCTCAACTGCAGAGTTAATAATTCACCAGGAAGGATGCTCACTAGTTGTGAAGTTATGTAGCATCTGTGTGCAAGTAACTGCTCGACCGAGGTCTATGATATTCCAAATCTTCAAAACATTTTTTTAATAGATTGACTTCAGAGAATGATCCGCGATTTTTCATGCCCACATTTTCATAAGCAATAAAGCAAGATCACGGTATAATAAACTAAATATCTGATGTTTACAAACCCAGTTTTTTCCTGTGTTGACATCTAATTCACAAATTGGGTAAAACTCGACCATACCCCTTAGAATTCTGAGAGATAAATCTAACATTTGTTTGCTAAATATGAAAAAAAAAGATCCTCTTTTCCTCACGAGTTTTAGGACATGTTTACACCGGTGAAACTTTTTATCTACACAAGAACTTTATTTTGGAAATACTTTATTCAATATTTATTTACAACCTGATTTATAATTTGGTGTTAACCATGTTGAAGTGTGAGCCCAGTTAATTATGTATTAAAAAGGAAGCGCTAAATAATAAGTGCCCGGGGCCCAAGACTGTTCAACAGCCTCCTACCAGGTATAAAGGGAATTACCAATAGACCCCCCCTGGCTGCCTTCAAGAGGGAGCTGGACAGGTACCTAAAGTGAACACCCGACCAGCCGGGCGGTGGTTAGTACGTTGGACTACGTGCGGCCAGCGGTAACAGCCTGGTTGATCAGGCCCTGTCCACAAAGAGGCCTGGTCAAGGACGGGGGCATTGACTTAGGGGTTATATATACAACGCATGGAGAATGGGAGGTAATCAGGTATGATCCGAGGGGGAAGGATAGCTCTAAGTCCTTGGATGAAGAGCCTTTACCCTCGAAACAACGTCTAGAAATAACACCAGTTTGTTTACATTAGCTTAGTGCTGTGGTGACCCGCTGCTGCAACCCTCCCTCAACCCGAGTATTATTTTCTTTTCCTCGCATTCTTTTCACATTTCAACAACCCTGCAGTCATTTCACGAAAACCAACGATATTCTGTTCTCAGAATCAATATTAAATTAGTAACTATGTTATCTAGACTTAAGTGTCGGAATTATGAGCAGGATGCAGTGAAGCTAAAGTTACCAACACCTTTTGTTATCAAGTGTTTATACAGGTGTGTGGGGGGTGTATAAAGCGAGAATGGAAGTAAAGCGTAGGTAAGGCAAGAAAGGTAGAATATAGGGTGTGGGTACGACGAGAAGAATGTACAGAGTGGGTGCTGCTGAGGCAGAAGGCTGCAGTGTAGGGTGTTGGTAAGGCAGACGGATGCACAGTGTGGGGTGTTGGTAAGGCAGACGGATGCACAGTGTGGGGTGTTGGTAAGGCAGACGAATGCACAGTGTGGGGTGTTGGTAAGGCAGACGGATGCACAGTGTGGGGTGTTGGTAAAGCAGACGATGCAGTGGGGTGTTGTAGGCAGCGATGCACATGTGGGGTGTTGGTAAGGCAGACGGATGCACAGTGTGGGGTGTTGGTAAGGCAGACGGATGCACAGTGTGGGGTGTTGGTAAGGCAGACGGATGCACAGTGTGGGGTGTTGGTAAGGCAGACGGATGCACAGTGTGGGGTGTGCACATGCTATTAAAGTGAGTACTGTATATGAGTAACCAATGTGCTGTATACGAGTAACCAATGTACTGTATATGAGTAACCAATGTATAGGAGTAACCAATATGTTGTATACGAGTTATCAATGCACTGTATAGGAGTAACCAATGTACTATATAGGAATAATCAATGTACTGTATAGGAGTAACCAATGTACTTATATAGGAGTAACCAATGTTGAGTGAGTGGCTGGGAGTGAGGGTGCGCCTCAAGAGGAGTATATGCAAGGGAAAAAAATGTGCTACAGTGAAGCGGTGTTGATATAATACCTTACCTGTGGGTGAGGGTAGGAAGGGTGTGGGCGGCGTCACGACACACTACATGGTTACACCTCCATGGTGTCACACCCACAACCTCACAAGTCAACACGAATACCTCCACACTAATGGTTTCTGCAACACATTAAATGACAGTTAGCATCAATTTGACTAATAATAATAATAATAATAATAATAATAATAATAATAATAATAATAATAATAATAAAAATCTCTTAACCCGAAAGTTTATCATGCAGCACACAATTATAAGGTTAGGTATATAAAGCTACATGAGTGGTCATTAAAACTGCATGTAACCTCTTGAAGTTAGTCAAGAATACCTTAATCTCTAAAATAGAGACCCCTCAAGGAGGTTCCTTGACGCTGGTGAGGGGCTCTAGATCTAGGGAATTGGATCTGTGCTCCAGTTCCCTGAATTGACCCTGAATACCTTCCATCCCCCCACGTGCGCTATATAATCCTACGATTTTAGCGCTCCCCATAATTATAATCTAAAATAGGGACTAAACTCGGTGTGTATACAATGAAGCACATTCCTCTGTGTACATATCCTCTAAATTATTACGATTCCAGCATTCAGGCCCTTTGGCAGAGCCGAACAATCCGTACTCACATTTACCTAAAGACCTATAACAAAGCGTTTGTTGTTGCTATTATGCATATATTTAAAAAATAAAAAAAAATTACCAAGTACTTAAGTACAAATTAACTAACATAACACAACCAGTCAAAAAAATTATTATAAACAAGCACACATCTTCTGCAGGTCATCATATGACTAAGACCTGCTTCAGGAAACACTTGTCCTGTTTCCTGACGAGCCTAATATTTACCAAACATATATCTACATACAATTATATATATACCCACATACACTCAATTATATATTTACATATACCCATACATGTTCATCAATACATGAATGAATTATTCATGTTACATCATGTAAGAATCTACTACCCCCTTCATTGTACATGATATAAACTAATCAGTTCTTGTATTGTTAATTCCTTTGTGTAAATTTTCCTACATACACTTGTTGATTTCCAACTTTTGCTTTACACATTTTGCCATCTAATTATGTGCTCCTCAATTATGTCATCACGAATACTCCACATCAAATATACATAATCGGTTACCAGATAAGTTAATGCCCGTTCCATGTCTTTATTGGACAAAAAGAATTCAAAATTTAATGCAGGTAATCCAGTTAAATATTTATTTATTGTAGATGTAAGGCCACTCAATACTCCAACGAGCTAAGGGTCATACTGCTCCTGAAGAATGGAAGGTAATCATGTTGTAAGGCAAGAGAAGATGGCTCCAGTTCCTTGAATCAAGAACCCCTTAATGGGATCAAGGCATCTCCCACAAAAAAAATGTAATATGACAGAGAATCAGTTTGCCCAGTACCACCACCACAGAAAACGGATATCATAACAGAGAACCCAGCATAACCTGTGTCTTACATCGTCTACCCTCACCCATAAACAAATTTTTAGGTGCTGGAGTTTATTGGGATTATTAACCCGGAGTGTTAGTAATTCGGGAAAATCGAAGGAAATCCTATATGTCTGTCTCATTTCCATTGTAGTACTGTAACTCTTCCCCAGGGTGCGACTATAAAAGTCGGCTAACACCCAGGTACACACAGCTAGGTGAACAGGCGAAGCAGGTGTAACGAGGCTAATTATAAGGTACCTACTTACTGCTAGGTGAACAAAAACAACAAATGTAAGAAAACATGACCAACACTTCTACTTGCGCTAAGATGTGAGCCGACGACACTACCACTTGAGTTTCGAGAAAAAAATATTCCGTTGTTAGTATCATCAAAACTAAGTGCTAAACCCACCAGGGTAATATAGTACTGTATTCTGATTGTAACTCCGGAGGATTAATAAACCAGGATAACCCAAGAAAGCCAAGTAGTGTGAACCAAGACTGTTCAACTGCCTCCCAGCATACACAGACCTCTGGCTGTCTTCAAGGCGCTTGACAGGCACCTAAAGTCAGTACCTGACCAGCCAGGCTGTGGTTGGTACGTCAATCTACGTGCGGCCAGCAGTAACAGCCTTGATCCACCGCGAGACCTGGTCACAGACCCCCGAAACCCTCTCCAGGTATACTAGAGTATCTAGGTCCTTCCACATGGTGTGACCATCAACGGTCAACAAATATCCAGGTGTCTACTGCTAAGTGAACAAGGGCAGCAGGTGTTCCAAGACTTGCCCTTACGTCCCGCTTCACCCAAGACTGAACTTGGATCTTTCGGTTGTGAGCCACAAGGAATAATACCGAGGACAGGTGGGGAATTATTTCGACTGGCGGACATGTTTATAAAATTGCTCAGTGTCCAGAATATCTTGCTGCCAATTTTGTCAAGGATGGGAACCAAAGGATGGGAACACAACTTTGTAGTGCCCACAGTTAGTGACCAGGCTTCAAACACCTTTTATTGTACAGCAATAAAGGAATGGAACAGACTGCCTGCTCATGTCAAAGCCAGTCATAGCATGAACCAGTTCAAGAAGACTGCCAAAAGGTGTCTGATGAATGTAGCTACAGAAAGGCAGGGGAATGATTTTTTATTTTTTTTAGCTAACACACGTGTAATTTTACCTTATTCATAGTAATGACCCTCGTGTAGTAGTCTTAATAGTATGATAATAAGCCGTTATCTCCTTTATAGAATAATAAGATATTATCACCTTTATATTATAATAAAGGTAAAAGGACCGCAATGGAAATAAGTCACTCTGACTTTTTTGGGTTATTCTAGGTACTTTACACATATGCTGCTATGTATGATAATCTACGGGCTGTGGTTCGTACATTGGACTGTGTGCGGCCAGCAGTAACAGCCTGGCTGACCAGGCTCTGATCCACCGGGAGGCCTGGTCGTGGACCGGGCCGCGGGGGCGTTGATCCCCGGAATAACCTCCAGGTATGTAACTATTTGTGTATACCTGAATATACTTACTCCATTACCAGCTAAGCCTGGAGTTTAAGGACTCGCTTGCCCCCTCAAGAGAGGTTCCTTGACGCTGGTGAGGGGCTCTTGATCTAGGAAATTGGACCTGTGTTCCAGTTCCCTGAATTAATTAAGCCTGACTGCCTCCCCCCCCCCCCACAGGAGCTGTATAATCCCTACGGGTTTAGCTGCTCCCCATAATAATGACTCTCTTGCCATGGGTTCAATTCTTGCCCGTTCCGTGGTTTGTCCGCAGTCGTGTTATAACGATTTCGTGAGTCATGATTAGCGGGTCACAAGCTGTAAAACTGTAAATGTTTAATAGGCTTGAGCAAATTGTGATTAGAAATGAAGTAAAAAAGCACCCAGAGATTACCCAATTTGCATAACTAAATGCGCGTTATATAACGCCACATGGAAAAGGTGAAGCAAAATAATGAATCTTTATGGCCAAAGCGAAGTCAGGTGTTGGTGCACGATATGAGAAAATACTGTAAATTCATTGTTTAACAAAATAAGCTCACGCAAAACAAGGTACAGTTGCCAGGTGGGATTAATTCATGTGGGGGGGGGGGTAAATCAGGCAGTCATGTTCGAGCCAAGGAATGGGGTGGAGGTCATGTCCAATTCCATGGATCAAGAGCCACTTACCAGCGTCAACGAACATCCCTTGCCAGGTGGGAGATGATAGGTTAAGTGACCCATATCTAGATCCTTCTGTGGGCCAAAAGTAAACAAAGATAGTAAGAGAGGAAACAAAGTCATGAGTTACCAGGCTGGGAAGTGGAAGTATGAACGCTGGAACATAGGTAGCGCTGACATGCTGCCTCAACTCGGCAGTAATGAATGGAGAACCAAAGAAATGTATATTCTGAAATCGGGTTTTGGTGTTATACTGAATCAGGCGTTATCTAGGACCCCCAGTGGAAATAAGTTACATTATTTGACTATTGGGTTATCCTAGGCTAAATACTCGTATACATAATATACATTTTGTGCCCATAATATTTGTATGCCTTGAACATTGTAAAAAAATAAAAATATATATAACCGGGTGTGTACCCACAGATCATGTAAAGACTTACTGTTATGATAGCCTAACACCCGCTCCTGATTAGTACATAATCAAATCTGAATGAATTCTTCCTTGAACTGTAGACACTATAAAGTTGCTTAAATTCCTAGACACGGTGACCGGCTTGATAGAATTCCTTGGCGGCTCGGATATGGCCCAAGGGCTGGATTTCACCCGCCACCGCTCTATTACCTAGGTGATGCAAGGGACAGTGTGGGGGATCAATAGAGGCTATCACCCTGCATTCCACCGGAGGCCTCAAAATTGTGTTTTTATGCTCTTAAGTTTCGTTGTTCACAATTATTTAACGTCTGAGAGTTCTAAAAAAAAAACGATCAATAAATAATATAATAAATTTTACTAGTCTAAATATATAATTTAAATATTTTTTGAGGAATTGGTTAGTTGGTTTATTAGATTTACAGCATATCTACTACACGAGGGTCACTGTATCTCCATGTAACCTGGAAACAATCAGTCAAGGATAGTTTAATACTCAATGTAAAGATTGATATAAATTCTTAAGTGTATATACGAGTATACTGATACATATACTGCTCTCCGTATACACATTGCTACCATCAACGCAATCTCTTCGAGAGATATACTCTTCAAAATTTATACACAGTGAGGCATTATTGATTTTTATTATATCCATGCGATTCACTAAACCCGTGTGGATTATTCAGTTGAAGGCATAACGAAGGATCAATCTTCCAGAACTCGTGACAAAAACACTGTTCTCACAATCAGGTTAGGAAAGGTTTGTCAGGAAACAGGAGAGGGGTTTCCTGACGCGGGTCTTTATCATGTGATGACCCGCAGATGGAGCTTTTGGTCATCTGACCGAGGCCTTCCACTGGCTTACCCGTTCACCCCTTTAAAAATCATGGTTATGATTATAACCATTAGATTGCTCAGCTGTTTCTCACAATCACAATCTGTCACTTGAATATAAATAATGACTGCGCAATTTGTAATTCTTAAAGTCAAATATATATAACCGATTTGTACTGCCATTGCCTCTGTTTATGTCAAACTAGACTAGGTGAGATATGAACG